TTTATTAAAAAAATTTGAAATTTTAGGACACGAACCCTTGACTTCAAATCACGACTCGACAGCCACTTCTGAGTATATTAATCATTGAGGTTCAAATAGAAACGCTTTAGCTATTGGCTTGTGGTGACAGACGAACTAATTAGACTTAATTAGTCGCTAATACCGGAGCATAACTGTGTCGTGAATAAATGCTTAACCCCATATTCCGGGGAGACGATACATTGACGAAGGCGTTAAACGCGCGAATACCACTCGACACCATTACGGACACAAATAGCAGTTGAATGACAATGATTTTCAACCCTCGTTTCCTAACGACTTTAGAGCAAAACTTTGTGCGTTAGCAATCTTACTGTTTGCAGTAATGACTTAATTTTAACACGACATCTTAATAGGTCACGCCTCTTTCAACCCTAGCGGTGTGTGTGAGAATAATTATTATAACTCAATAAACTTAAAACGATTTACAACTAAACGGAAAAAAAATTGTAACAAACAAAAATGATATTTACATAAATACAAATAAAACTGTTATTAGATTTTCTTCGACTTGGAAGAAGTGTTTTTTTCGAATCTTAATTTAATCCACAAAATCTTATCTTTTAAACGAGCAATTATATATATATATATATATATATATCGGAACCTCGGAAACGGCTCCAGCGATTTTCATGAAATTTAGTATGTGCGTAAATTCGGGGGCGAAAAATCGATCTAACTAGGTTTCATTTTTAGAAAATGTCCTTTTATCCCTGTTTTCATGGAATGAAAAATATCATTCGAATATGACGGTAAATTTCGCCGCAAAAACAAAAGTTATCGGTAATCGGGCGGCCCCAAATCAGAAGGCCGCTGTTCGTATCACGATTATTTACACACTTATTTTTTTACTTTTCCTTCTACACCAGATCATTTGCGATATTTTTTAGGTAAATGAACAATAACTTTCGGTGCTGTGGGATTCGAATCTACGACTTCCAGTTTCGCGCCCATACGCTTCATCAACTAGGCTAAGCGGTCGACGACCTCACAAAAAAAAAGTTTCGAGGTCTACCCTTTTTTCATTGCATTTTCGCAATGATATCTTTAAGCCGAAACTGAAGCATACATAAAAAATAATTTTACCCGTTTTTATAGTTAATGAAGAGTTCAGATTTTCATTTAACGATTTATTTCTAACAAGTTTTTTTGTTGCTTTTAGAAATTATTTTACTTCACATTTATGCTAAAACTGAGATACACGGGCTTTTTCTATTCATAACTTAATAACTGTGGAGAGTAATACATCCCTACTAATATTATAAAGGCGAAAGTTTGTTTTTTACTCTTTCACTCAAATACTACAGAATGGATTTTAATGAAACTTTACAATAATATAGCTTATACATCATAATAAGACAGAGGCTATTTTAATACATAATTTATATACATATTTTATATATATCTGTCTTTCAGTCTTAATGTTACACCTTCAGCCTATTCTACGCAGACGTAGTCGCGGGTAGCAGCTAGTAGTTAAATATACAAAAGAAAGAGTAAGGCTTCAATAACTTTATTTTTTTTTTGCCTTAGTTCCGTCCCAGGAACAATGACTGCTCTAACTAACAACTGAGGTAAGTAAGCCAAGTACAACCGTGCTCCATGTTCTTCTAGTAGTTGTAAAAGTTCATGACCCAAATAGAAACAATGTCGAGAATATGCAATCTAATTTTGCATGATTAGAATACGCGAGTTTCTCATTAAGTGTACCAAGAAAGGTAATTAAAAATTGCAAGATTAAGATGTAACATGATGTAGATATATATCATTGAGATCATTATTTCTTAGTCAAGTCTTTTATAGCCTTCTATTTTATAAGAGTAGCTGTAATTGAATTCAATCTTAGTTCGTTTTGTAACATTTTATTTTTATTCTTTCGTAAATCTAACTTAGAAATGTGGACACATTACAAACGTCCAAAGGACCGACCATATAATGAATAGATTTCGATTTATTTATATGTATGATGTTTGTTTCGTCACAGATGTAAATAAATATAAAAAAAGACTTACAAGAAGTTCTTATGTTTAAAATTTTACACTCATTAATTATACTCAAATCAAAATAAGTTTTACAACTAAAAATATGTCAAGTTGTGTTTATTTTAAGATAAATTAGCCCCGGCGTCGAATGGGTGCAGTGCTGAACGTTTGTTTCCGACCACGCATTAGAAACCTAAAATTATCAGAGTTTCTCTACTATATTATGCAAAGTCGCAAAAGAAAATCGCATCATAATCCGTTGCGTAGTTTTAAAAATCTAAGCATATATAGGGACAGACAGACAGCGGGACGACTTTGTTTTATACTATGTAGTGATGATAAATAATTTGCCTGAATTTGTCAAACCAAGTTTATCTTACGAATACTCCATTAGGTTCACAAGTGAGATCTATTAGCGGGTTACTAGTAAGTTTAATTTTTTTAGTTGTAATTTAATAAAAATGGATATTATGATTAACTGTTTTCAATGCTTATCTATATTAAAGCTTTTGTGTCTGAGAATATCATCGAAAATCGATCCAGAAAATACTGCTTTTATTAATTTTACCATCTACTTTTATTCATTTGAAATATTTGCAAAACGTATGTAATTAATTTTTTAACGTATGTAATTAATCAATATTTATAAAATTGTCTCACGTACAATATTTGCCCAGGAGTATATAGGCAATATTGAAATATTTACCTTTCAGAAATTGTTTAGAGACAAACTAATTCCCCTTCCATTGGTCCACGCATGTAGGTAATCTGTTATGCTACGATCAGGCAAAGGTCGACCAACTTTGGGTCACGGGTGCAAATAAATCTTGTTGACTTTTATTTGCACGCACTGGACGAAACTGCTTATATTGTCGTCGTATTTCGTATACGCAAGTGTTAAAGTTATAAGATAATTTTATTGCAACATATGTCCATTATATATAATTAATAAATTGCTAAGTGCTAGAATCTATTGTGAAAATATAGATTATATTATAATATTACCTAAACTTAATGTTTAAAACTCGACTTGAATTGATAGTAATAGCATGAAAGTCAACAAAATAAATCGCTTCTGCAACAGTGAGAATTACGATACGATAAGACAAGTTCTTAATACTTTTAAAAGGGTACTCCTTTTTTTATGTGAAAAAGTGGCAAACCAGCTGGCGGTTCACCTGATGTTAAGTGATAACCACCGGCCACGGACATTTGAACCACCGGTTGCAAATGTGTTGCCACCTTTTACCAATGTGGGCCCCGGCTACCTCACTTACCAGACGAAACGCAGAAGTATAACACTTCTACTATACGCCGGTCTTCTGTGAGGTCGTGGTACTAACCCGGACCTGCCCATTCGTGTAACAGCGGATACTGTTGCGTGGTCGTACCACAGTAATCATTTCCTCCAACATCTCTTTTCTTTTAATAATAAATATTGAATGAATACAGAAATACTTCTCGGTAAATACTGATTTGTTGCCGATAAGGAAATGTAGGCAATATTAATACGTGATCCGCACCATGGACATCTGGACCTGTTCTAGTGGATCTTCTTTTCGGATCTTAACGATAAAGATAAAAATATGTAATGATTTTATATATGTGATAATTTTAATAACATCCGCAATGAAGTCTTCTTGAGGATACAATCTTAATTTTAATGAATTTGCCAAATTTTACGGTGGTAGCGCCACGCAGCAGCCTCGGCTGTTGCATAAATAGGCAGGCCCGTCCGGGTAAGTACCACGACCTCACACGAAGACCAGCGTAAAGTGGAAGTGTGACAAATACTTTCGCGTTTCGTCTGTGAGTGAGGTAGCTTGAGCCCAATTTTCAAAAGGTTGTCAACGCATCGGTAACCCACGGGTGTGGCAGATGTCAATTTATGGCGGTATTTACTAACCATCAGGTGAACCGCATGCTAGTTTGGCAACTTTTCACATAAAAAAAAAATAAACATTAATTGACAATTAATAAATGACAAGCCGTGACAGCAACATATACTCGAGCAACCTGAGTTCGATCCCGGTACCGGCACCAATGAAGTTTTTAACTTTAAGACTTATCACGTGCTCCGCGATGAAGGAAAACATCGTGAGGAAACCTGCATGTTTTCGAAATAATAACAAAAAAATATATATATTTCGAAGATATATGAAGGCCGCAGTGGGGCCGCGTGGTGGACTATGCCCTGATACCCTCTGTATAGAGGAGGCCTTTGCCCAGCTGTGGGACAAGTATAGGCTATTACTTTACTTTTTTGAATTGAAAATTATTCAGATTTTGAAACTGATAAATAGAATGATTTAACCAAAAAATATTTTAGTGAATCTTTTAGTGTAAGTGGCAATTCTACTGAAATTGTGTTTGTGTACCTAGAACCTTTGATGTTTTAAGGTTTGGGAATTTATGAATTCTTACAACGTTTGATCTTTATACGGAATGATATTTCGATTTTATTGCTCGAAGCATCTTTAAATAGCCTGAAAAGATGAACGATGTATTTGGTTTAGTATTTTTATCTCTAAATGATATTAAAAACGTTTATAAAAGGATGGAGCTGTTTATAAAGATTTTGGGTAGTGAAGAGTAAATTAAAACTGGTCTCTAAGACCTTTTCATTTAGAAAATATATCAATGTTATTTTAGAAAACGTTTAAATAAAACAACATTATAATTATATTTCTTGTTATCTATTAGTTATCATAATCAACATCTTTCTGATCTGTTTTGGAATCAGCCATTCAGTATCATTATCTTCTTGTTTCACAAGGAACATTAACTATAATGGCATAATTATCTTATTTACTTTTGCCTTTCGTCTACTAGTAGAGAACGACCAAGAAGAACGTAAATCGATACAAGATTGGTTATATACTGAGGTAAGGTAAACTGTGGATTTTTTTACACAAAAAAGGTGTAACTGCCAATGTGTGTATAAACAAATATTTAATTAGCAAATGTTATCCGTTACAGATGTACGGGCGTGAATCATTGTAATTTTCTGTTGGAAGAAGATTACCCTCCTGCAGTCGACTGGCCGCCGGGCGTAGTCTCCATAAAATACGCCTGTTTTGATGGTGAGTTATATCAAATGTATAATTTTCTTCATAAGATAAAGAGACAAAAGGGCAACTGGTAATATCATTATACAGCTGTCGTTACAACCGCGACACACATATGGAGGATAACTTTTTAAAATTATATTAAACATTTACATTCTATAAACATCAATATTTAACGAGTTATTAAATTTTCTAAAATAAACAATTTTAGGACACCCTTACGTATAAAACTGGAAAGTTAATTTTTAAAGGTCACAAAACATATGAATGGATTGAATGAATTTAAAAGAGAAAAAACATACTGTTAGAAGGAGAGGCTTGTAAAGCGATGCTGTGGCAACGAATGAAAAAGTCTCTCAATGTATAAATCAGTCAGTTGTAGTTGTATAGGTCACAAATTTTGTTCCTTTTTTACTTAATTAGTTTGTTTGAAAAATATTTTTTTTAAGTATGGATTTTTTAACGTTTATATTTTTTTATTATTACTGGCAAGTAGCTTTAGACGTGTGTTCATTTATTGTCGCGGTTGTGACGACACGCTGTATATATACAAACATGAACTCAATGGTAAACTTTCTAACTACAGACTAACACGTCCAATTTAAATGCTTCGTTTCGACAGGATCAGGCGGGCGGGGACGCGGCTAGTCTTATATAAAAGCCATCAAATTGAGTCCGGGTTGCCTGCGAACAATCGCAACACATGTGCGCGGGGGCGTGAAATTGATTTGTGCGTCAAATTCGGACAGATGTGTAACGCATAGTAATTGTGATCGGCGGGCATTTTCGCCGATAGCGTCAACTGTGAGTTGCGGCGTAAAGTTTAATACAAAACAACTATTGTAGTCCGTGTTTATCGAAATCGTAAATTTAGATAATGAGTGTTTCACCCATATCGATAGCGCTTAGGGAATAGACAGCTGCATCGTAAATTGAATTTGTGTGTTCTTGAAGTTCTTTCTTTGCACTAACCGGCGTGTGCGGTTCTTATGTTGAGGGTCAACATCAACATCTTTATAACATTTATAATAATAATAATAATAATAATAATAATAATAATAATAATAATAATAATAATAATAATAACCCGCATCGTCCGCCGGTTTCTCTCCCTTTCGCCCTAACCCTCGGCCGTTTGGTCTCCCCTGCCGAGGGCTTCCGTCTGTTTGGGTCCTATTTATATATGTATTATATAAAATATTTATTTATATATATATATATATATATGTTTATTTTTATCCATAATATTTATTTTATATATGCAATATATATCTATATCTTTATTTTTATTTTTATTTATAAACCCAACCAGACGAGAAAACAAATGAATATCCCCCCAATAATAATAATAATAACATTCACAAAACCATTACTGAAAAAATAAATAAATACACAGAGTTAAAGGAAGAAATTCTTAGAATTTGGAAAATGAACAAAGCATACATTTTGCCACTAGTGCTATCCAGTACAGGCGTAATTCCCAAACATCTACTTTAATCTTTAAAAATTTTAAATATATCTGAAAACACCTACATAACCATGGAAAAAGCACTAATCCTAAACACATGCCGAATTGTACGCAAATTTTTACAGGAAGACTTGAATAATCCACCCGAAACATAAGATGAAGCTCACTTGGCTTAGGCCCGTGATCTTGATCATACCGAAATATCTTAAATATTTCGAGATATACAACATGTATAAACATAATAATAATAATAATAAATAATAAGACGAACAACTATAGGAGATACATCCTAAAGGATGGCACCGTCGACATCTGTCGAGCTTGTCGCCATCCCGGGGAGTCGCTTCGGCATGTTACCTCCGGTTGTTCCATGCTTTCTAACTCTGAGTATCTGCATAGACACAACCTAGTAGCCAGAATCCTACACCAGGAGCTTGCTCTGAAATACGGCCTCGTGGAACGGAAACTGCCGTATTATAAGTACTCTCCGGAGGCCGTGCTCGAAAATGACCGCGCCAGGCTCTATTGGGACCGGTCCATCATCACAGACAGGACAATTGTCGCGAACAAACCTGATATCGTGTTGATGGACCGGGCACAGTCGCGGGTATTTTTGGTCGACATTACCATTCCATATGACGAGAACCTCGTGAAAGCCGAAACAGATAAGAAGACGAAGTATCTGGACCTGGCTCACGAGGTGACCGACATGTGGGGGGGTGTGCCGACCGAAATTATCCCGATAGTCGTGTCTGCGAATGGGTTGATCCCAGTCAGCCTCTCTAAACATCTGAGGCGACTGGGACTCCGGGACGGATCGCTCCAGGCTCAAATGCAGAAGGCGGTGCTCCTCGATACCGCCCGCATCGTCCGCCGGTTTCTCTCCCTTTCGCCCTAACTCTCGGCCGTTTGGTCTCCCCTGCCGAGGGCTTCCGTCTGGTTGGGTCCTATTTATATATGTATTATATAAAATATATATATATATATATATATATATATATATATATATATGTTTATTTTTATCCATAATATTTATTTTATATATGCAATATATATCTATATCTTTATTTTTATTTATTATTTATAAACCCAACCAGACGAGAAAACAAATGAATATCCCCCCAATAATAATAATAATAAAATATCTTTATTCACATAGACGCTTGCGCGTTCTTATGAAACGTCAAAATTTTACAAGAAATGAACACGTTCGTAAGTTACCACCGGTTCGGAAAGCAGTTTCTGTTGAGAAGAAACCGGCAAGAAACTCAACAGTTGCTCTTTTTTAAAAAAAAATCAGTTTACAATATAATAGTACATGTACAATAGTCTTGTTTTATGTATAATCAAAGGAGAGAGCTTGTATGTTTGTACCTATTTGCTATTTGATCTGTGCGTTCATACTTTTGCGGGCCATTTGATCACGATGTGACTTTAAAATATTTCACAGACTGTAAAGAACCATCTGACTCATAATGTCATCATTACGAATCACCTGCTACAGTTTCTAACTACTTTAATACACTTTTTGCAGTCAGACGATGTATAAGTTTCGAAGGACATTGAGAAAAAATATTTGAATAATCGAAGTGTATGGTCGGTGATGAGTTAAGTTCAAAGCGTCCTTCTTTAAGTCGTTGTTCCTTAAGCTCGAGACAAGAAAATTTATTCTGCTACGAGTAGTATAAATATGTTAAAAGACACAAGGATAAAGTTACTATCGAAATTTTGTATGTTATTTTGGACTGAGATGAAATATTATTACACATGTGGATTTATAAAATTGCAACCTTATCTGTAACATTTTTTTACTTTGTAAAGTGTTAAAGTAATAATGGAAACCTTATGGCATTCCAGTGTTTTTAAAACTTCACGTTCGGTTCTATAAAAAGGGTATTAATTTGTTATTATATCTTTTGTTCGTGTACCTTGGATAGAAATTGTTTTTCATAGATTTTTTTTTTATGTGATAAGTTGCCAAACGAGCTGACGGTTCACCTGATGTTAAGTGAATACCGCCGCCCATGAACATCTGCTACACCCCGGGGTTTGCAGATGCGTTGACAACCTTTTTGGAAATTGGGCTCCAGCTACCTCACTCACCAGACGTAACGCGAAAGTATTTCTCATACTTCCACTTTACGCCGGTCTTCTGTGAGGTCGTGGTACTTACCCAGACGAGCCTGCCCATTCGTGCAACAGCCGAGGCTGCTGCGTGGCTCTACCACCGTTAAATCTTTAAAAATCTTTAAAGATGTTTAAAAAATATCATGAAAAGCGGAAAATAAAAAAATGTGCAGAAGTTAACTGTAATATTTGATTGTATATAATTTTAGTTTACAGTGTTCAATTCAGGAGGGTCATAATTCACAATGGGCCTTCACAAAGGGCACGTGTCTGACGATTTCACACATTTCGATAATTCCGACCTCGTGTGAACGGAGCATCGTGAATAGCTACATTTATTGGAAGGCTCGGGTAACGAGCTTGTGGTTAAATAAGTGTTCTTGAAGATAAGAAAAGTAGCAGCATACTATACTAATTTGGAAACCATGGGAATATAGACATATGTACATAATATAACTTAAAAGATCACATGTTTTTAAAAGCTTTGCCTATTTTAATTTTCGATTCGTAATTTCCGTTGCCACATACACGCAGACGTAGTATTCTATACCTAAGCTAGCAAAATGAATTAAAAGATTGCAAATAAATCTTAAATTAACTATCGCTAGCAAATCGAAAATGAAATAAATTTATTTTGATTACTTAAACACTAAAAGCGTATTAAGCAACGCTCGATACTGAGGCCTAACTGTTTTTAGGTGCTAAAGACGACAAAGAGAAAAGAAAAAACAATAGCGTTAAAAATACCGAGATTCCGTATTACCTGACCGATGCAACCTGAACATTATTGAGAACTATTCTTATCTTTTAAAACTTGCAATAGCTGCAGCGCAAGTTCTTAGAATAAGAACTTTTGATTTTTTTCTTTTATCTCCACCCCTATAATGTTTTTTATATGAGAAGATGGCAAGTGTTGTGGCGGTTTACCTGCCGTTGTTTTGTTTTGCCAGCTTTTAACAAAGTGGGCCCCGGCTATCTCGTTCACCAGACGAAACGCAGAAGTATAACACTTCCACTTCACGCCGGTCTTATATATATATATATATATATATATATATATATATATAATGTATATCTGTCTTTCTGTCTTAATTATACACCTTCAGCCTATTCTACGCAGACATAGTCGCAGGCAGCAGCTAGTACGTCATAGTACAAAAATCTCCAACCATTGGGATCCCACGTGCTGATCAATTGATGAAATAGCCAGCTTAAATATAGTTCTCAGAAGAGCTTGTCTCAAACACACATGCTCTATATAATGATTCCAGTAATGTTGCATTCATATTGACACACTACCCCACAAAATTTTGCAACTGGGGTGTTTTAATGGAGTGTTTTTGGAAGCCACGTGCGTTATTGGGAACACGAAATAATAGTGTAAAAAAAAAAAAAAAATCATCGCATAATCAAGCTTTGT